ACAAAGGCTGCCCCGCTGCCAGATTTCAGAATTCCCCTTCTGAAGCTGGAGATCCTCACAGAAAAGGTTGTCTGCATTTATTTAACATGTGCCAAGTGGTGTATTTTCCCCTTTATAATATTCCTGGAAATGGCTGAACTATTTTGGCTCCAGCAGATGCCGAACTGTTTGGAATCAAATTCTCAGTGCTATGTTCTGGCAAAGCCAAGGAACGTGCCATTTTGTGCCGTTGACACCAGGGAAGGCTGAGCACTGTGACAGCAGGGAGGAAGGTGGCACTGCCGTTCAACTCCAACCAGCAAGTGTTGCTTTTAAGGAGCTGCCAGCTCGAAGCCAGAGAGGAACATCCTTGTGCTCGTGTGCCCAGTGAAGTCTGTACCTTCATCTTGGACAGCAAACATGGCAACCCAGAAGCATCAGTGCTGCTTCCAGCTGCATTGAGCTGTTTAAATCTACCCTTTAAACCATCCAGGCTCGATTCCCCCAAACCTTTATCGCTCCTGGGCTTAAGGCTGGATCTGTATGTGGAATCTATAGGTATGTATTGCCACCTTGGTGCTCAGTTCCCACCTTGGAAGTCCATCTGCAGAACCCCCCTGTGCCAAATAAGAGTGTCCTCCATGGATGTTTCACTATACAGGTATGTCTTTGGGGCTGAAGCCTTACAGGGCTGTGACGTGAATGAGGATAAGGCTCCTTCCCTCTTCTCTGCTCTGTCCTGGCTCCTTTCTCTGTCTTTAGGACCCAAGGCGCAGTGACATAGAGCTCCTGCTCTCTTTCCTAGGTATATATGTTTTGGTACATAAACAGACTGTGAAATGCTCACCTTACCAAGTTGGCTTTTCCACAGGCAATACTATATTTTGGGAGGGCAGAGATGAAGTTCCCATCTCTGGAATTTCTTGGTATTTTAAAGTGTTCAGTCATTCCTTTAGTTGTTTTCAAACAAAGCCTGTTAGACTCTTAGAGAACGATGTGCCTGCTGACCCCATCACCCCAAGCTGGGTTATTGTGCCCTCTCCAAGTCCGTGCTGTGCAAATCCTTTCTATAATTACAGCCTTCTCAAACAATACTGGTACCAGAGCATAAGCCCAGCACATTTGAGCTGCAGAGCTGTGAATATCTCTTTTTGTGGATACAACACTTGCACTCTGTGGCTTTGGGCTCAAGCTTATGTCAGTGTTAGCGCAGGGCTAATAATAGCCTCTACAGGCAGCTTGAGAAGTTGCTTACCTTTCCCTGGGGATATGAGTTTGTATTCCCTAAACCTTTAGATACACAACCTGTTTGTGGGCTTAGCTGCCTAACAAATAGTGTGAGAGTAATCCTTGCTTTTATATGTATTTATATATATAATGTGTGTGTATATGTACATGTGTGTATATATATGTTTATATCTATAATGTGTATATATATAATGTATATATATATGAGGTTTTTTCCTCCTTTAAGTTCTGATTTGCCTGCTTGGTTGTTGTCTGCCTGTTTTCTCCAGTGCTAGTGATTTCATGGCAGGTCATGGACCATAACCAAAGTTAAGGTGATGGGCAAGCAGGAGCTGCTGTGCTTGGTAGCCCAAGCTGACCCTGCCACTGCTTTGGTGGGAAGAAGAACCTGTTTCAGAAGAGCACATCCATCCTGAGCGTGCCTCTGGCTTTCACACCAGGGCTTCTCAAAGGAGCCCCTTGACCCTGTGCTGCCTCTTAGACCTCCGCCCCTCTGACTGATAACGGTGAGTGTGGTTTGTGCTGGGGCTTTGTTCTCCACTCTACAGAGAGCAGCGTTAACGTGCAGAATGACTAAGTGCCTTTCCAAAGGCCTCATAATGAATCAGTGAATGAACAACAACCCCAGCAGCTCCAGGCCCCCTGGAATAATGCCTCTGTCCCTGTACCAAGACGTGCACGTAGTATACGTTGCATACAGAATTCTGTATTTCAAAAGAAACGTGGATATTAATATTTACATTGGAGCAATGCCCCTGTCCTCTATGCCCCGTAAATAGCAGCACCACAACCACGTGAATGACTCCTTTTATGCAAAACCCTGGCCAGTGAAATAGCTCATCAATGTGAGATGAAATTGCTGCGCAAAAGTTTGACAGCTACATTCATTACACATGTCAATCAGAGGATCCTAAAGGCTTTATTGTCACTGTACAATGTCTGAACAATCTGCTAGCCCAATATGCCACAAAGTTATTTTCTCACTGCTCCTTTCATTTAACAAATAGCCACCGATAGCTGTCGTCAAACAGCCTCTGTTGAGGAGAACTGCCTGACCAGCAAAGGAAACTTAGGTTTTCTTGGGTGTCTGTGGGCTGGAGGCATTCCGGGCTGAACTCGCTGCTCTGGGCTAGCATATCGCAGTGCTTACAGTGGGTGAGATCTGGTCAGAAACACAGGACACACAATGCAATTACTGCTCGAAGGCCAGAGTGGGCTGAGGCTGTGGAGATGGCACGGTGAGTTAGAACGGGGAAGTTGCGCTAAAGAGGAGAGAATTTAACCACTTCACCTGCTTTTTGTCCGATTTTGCTGGATATCGGATATTCAAGCTCCTCTGTCCCGAGTCTCCCCCCAGCTTAGAATCAGAATCACAGGATGGTTTGGGTTGGAAGAGAACTTAAAGCTCATCCAGTCCCAACCCCCTGCTATGGGCAGGGATACCTTCCACTAGAGCAGGTTGCTCCAAGCCCCTGTGTCCAACCTGGCCTTGAGCACTACCAGGGATGGGGCAGCCACAGCTGCTCTGGGCACCCTGTGCCAGTGCCTCAGCACTCTCACAGTGAAAAGCTTCTGCCTAAAAGCTCATCTCAATCTCCCCTCTGTCAGGTTAAATCCATTCCCCCTTGTCATGTCCCTACAGGCTCTTGTGAGATTAGGACTGGCCTTTCAAATTGGCCCCAGTAAGTTTCTAAGACGTGGGTTTTGATAAGATCTTGCTCTCAATGGACTCCTCACAGCCTGGCGGCGAGCTTTGTGTTTGAATTTCTTTTCCAGCCTTCTCGCTGAGCCTGTGAGACCCCACTTGCCCTGTGCTGTAATAGGGGCAGAGGGTCGGACTGGGGGTGGCTGCTTCCATAGGAGACAAAACCAGCCGCGGGCGCTCCCGTGGATGAAGCCGCATCCCGGCGGCTCGGGGGACCCGGGTGCCGGCACCGGGGGTCCCCTCAGCCTCGCAGCGAAGCGGGGAACAGCCGCGAGAGGGAGCTTCCGCAGCAATGCCGTGAGCGGCCGCGCATCCCGGCTCCAACCGCTTTCCTCCCGCTTTCCTCCCGCTTTCCTCCCGCTTTCCTCCCTCTTCCCTCCCTCCGGACAGTGCTGCTGCTGCAGCAGGCAGTGTTAAAGTCACCGTGGGAGTTCACCTACCAGCATCCTGCTTGAGGTTCAAGTGCCGTGTTGTGGTCGTGTGTCACGACAGACCGCATCACACCTGGTTTATGAGGGTTTCGTAACTTGCCGGCCTTAATTTGCTCTGTGCTGGGGCCTAAGTTAAGTTTCCCAATGCAAAAGGGTTTGGAGGTTGGTTGTTTCCTCTAAGCAGTCAGCTTGGGTCTCAGGTGTGTGCTGGTGCATGGCTCTGCTGTCAGACCCTGGCCATAGGTTCTGCAGCAGCAACAAAGCCTCCGGAAGGTGCTTACTGTGTGTGCCTTGAGTGCACCTTCCTGGTGGCTGCTTTTGGGGTGAAACGCTGCTTTTCACCTGGGCTAAAGGGCACTTTTCAGCCGCTGGCCTGTAAGGGTGAAGAACAGTCCCGCTCTTAGGTTTGTGGGTGAGCCATGGGGATGCTCTGTGAGGATGCAGGCAGAGATGTTGCAGCAGGACCGCCGATCGTGACAGCTAGTGTTTGTACTGAAAAAGCATGGCAGAGAAATGGAAAAACTGAGATGTTTAAAGAATGGTGGTGTTAATTCATGTGCTGAGAGCTGTGCTGCCTACTCACCATCCCCGAAACTGTGACATTTCCCTGAGGTGCGCTGCTTGCTGCTGCATCATGTGTTTGATCACAGGCAAAATTAAACATGTTTTTGTTTTCAATAGACTCCACAAGTAACTTCGAGGTGCAAGTAGGCGTAAAATACACAGACCAACACTTTCCATAGCGTTGAAGTTTGTAGTTGCTGATGTTTCCCTCCCTTCTTTTTGAGGTCCTGCACAGACCACTTCCATTAATGCTTTAAGCAATGACCGTTGGTGTGGCAATAGTGTAGAGGTCTTTCAGCACAATTACTTTACAGTAAGCTCCAAATGTAACCCAATAGATTGTCTGTTACCTGTGACAGGCTGAGAGCCAGCACAGCCATCTTTCATTTCAGCTCTGCAGGATTGAAATCAGTGGAATTAGGTGAGGCCGATGGGATGCAAAAGGCTTTCCGCAAGCAGAGTGGGCTGTGCTTTACTCGGTAGCCCACCTCCGGCCAAGGACAGGCTTTGTAGTGTGTGGGTGCAGTGATAAAGACATTGCAAATGCTTTTCCTACTGGTCTAGGAGCTCCAGTTGCTACTCTTGGTGCATACACATAGAAAACCCTACCCAAGCCTGTATCGCTTTAGCTTGTATCGCTTAGCTTGTTCATTCTGACCCTAAAGGAAACCCTCCCAAAGGACCTGGGCATGCATCCAAATGAGCAGTGAAGAAGAGAGGTACCCAGCTCCATGGCTTCTGTGAGCACAGAGGTAGTGTTGACTGTCTCATTTGCTCTAGGGGGAGAAAAGAATGGTTCCTAATAATCTTCGTCTTTACTCGGCATGCTTGGTTTGAAGCAAATGGAGGTGAAGGATTGATCTACAGGCCACATGGAAAAGCAAGAGAAGTGTGCAAGTGGGGGAGCCAGTGCTTTTGACACTGGTGCCTCACCACTGGCCCTTTCTAGGGCTTCCTTGGTAAGTCAGCTTGTTGAAACTGCTGCCCACCAGCTTGCTGCTTTGATCACAGCCAACTGCTTCCCTCAGTGCCCATTGCTACCTCTGCTATCATGGTGCAGGGGAGGTGTGGGTGCACCTAACTATCAAGAGGGATAGAGGTGCCGATGGGGTACCAGCATCTCTAGCTCGGCCATGCTGTGCCTTCCTCCCCCCCCCCCCCCAAACTTGGGGTGCAGCATCCTCCCCATCACACCACTGGCTTCTTCCCATTGTCCAAACCCATGAATCCCTGCATCCTTTTGGCTGGGATAGGAAGTGGTCCTTCCTGAGCCCTGGCTGCAGGCACTGGCACTGTGCAGACCTGGTTTCTGAGAGCTGAGGCTCTGCCTTCCCTGCCAGCACCATGCATGCTTCTGCACTGGCAGCAGTTGGCAAGCCATGGAAGATGGATCAGCATGATTTGCTTTTCATTTCTGCGTTATCTTGTGCAGCTGTCCTGGAAAGGGTTGGAAACCAGCTCTGGGAAAGGATGCAGTAGTTTTCATTAAAGCGTTCTGCTGTGCCCTGAATTATTTATAAGCATCAGGATGTAAGGACATCATGTTCACCCTCCAGCACTGAGAAAGGCTGCAAATAATCTAATAAATTACTCATGCAAACTTATACTTTGAGTAAGTTTGTTTGCAAGTTTTGAGACTTAAAAGGGAGGAAATACCAGAAATAAGGCTGCTGCTTAGTATTTTGTATGTCAGGAGGTTGGTTTGGTCAGGCAGTTGGGCCAGATGATCACTGTAGGTCCCTTCCAACTGAAATATCCTGTTTTATGTTCCTGATGGCACAGCACAAGTGTCACGGATTTGCTTCCCACCCCTGCCCTGCTTGCTTCCACCACCTTTCACTGCAACTGGTGCTGCTCAGGGGATGAATCTGAGGCAGGCTGCTGCCCACATGGGCTACATGCTGCCCCATGCAGAGGGATGCTGATGTTTGGCATCTGGATGGTGTCAGGAGAAGCAAGCTTATCTCCCTACGGCTGGTTTGCAGAAGGCTGACGGATAAAACAGGGAAGCCAGTCCAGGGCAATTTGGTGCTGCACAAGCAGGGTTGTTGTCAGATCACTGGGATGCATCATCCGCTGGGCATGTTTGCTCTGAGCTTGGTGCGCTGAATCACTGACACATCCTTGGGACTCTCGTGCTCCTCTGCAACTTAATCTACTGCATTGCAGAAAAGCTCAGAGGCTTCAACAGGTTTTAAAGTCCTGTTGTGTCCTGCATCGTGTAGAAAAGACCTAATCCCCATCGCAACCTAACGCAATCTAAACAAGCTGCTATTACACTGTATTGAAGGGTAGTTAAAGCTGTTCCATCAGCCTCAAGCTGGAATATGGAGCGCCAGCATAGAGAAGTCAGCGCTGTTCTTTTAACTGGTGTCTGAATGTCGATGATGTCCATGGTTTGACCTGGTGGCCCCAGTGCTCGAATCACTGCTTCCACCTGAGCAAACACAGGTTAAGAGGGTTTCTGAGATGTTCCGGTGCAGTGAGAAGAGGACTCTGGAGGCCATAGCTGGAGAGAGGGATATCCCAGAGGGACATGGCCCCTAAGGAACAGCAATCTCTGTCCTCCACCAGCTGCTAGCAGTGCTGATCCACACTGGTTGGGCAGAACAGTGCCTTGTTCTTCACGCAAGTCAGAGAGCAGGGAAAGGTAACTGCCAGGTAAGGTCATTAATGGCTTCATTCTCAACTGAACCAAGAGGTATCAGCTCCAAACTTTGAGTGATAAAGTCAGAAACTTCAAAGCCAAAAACTTGTGTTTTAAAATACTCAGCAGGAGAGAAGGGGGGATTAAAATAGAGATTAGTCCGTGTTGTATCTTTAAAGCTGGATGCGTGCCCATCGCTCTGGTTCTGAATTGCTTCTCAAGCTGGAAGGCATGTGGATGAGAAATCTTGCTAAATACCAGATCTCATAGGATTTCTGCTGCTTAAGATTAGTCACGTTGCAAGATTTGGATGCTATCAAGACTTTAGTCCTGTTTTAAAGTGAAGACTTGCTTTTAAAGTGAGCCTAACAATTAACAACTGATGGTGGAGCTATAAATAAGTAGCACCAAGTATTACTTTAAATGTGTAAAAGCACTGTGTATCCCCAGTAGTGAGCCACAGCAACGTCCTGGCACTGCTTGTGCTTATGGGACCTGTGGAAGCACCTCTAACACGGAGCCCGTGCTTGTAACACAACTATCCTAATGGGGCTATTCTAATGTGTAGCTCCTTTGGCTGTTACAGGAAAAGGAAACTGTTTTTTTTTTTCCTCTTTGTGGACTATTTCTTACTCTTATTTTGTGTTGTTTTTAGTTGAAATGCAAATACTTAGAGGAGCTTAGGTGGTACTTTCGTATGAAGGCTTTCTGGATGGCTTCATGTCCTTCATCCTAAAGGGACTTGAAGCACCCAAGCACTAGGGAATATCAGAATGAAAAGAATGAGATCAAATGATGTGTAAATGATGTGCATTGCAACAAAGCCTGTGGCTGTGCTGTATGCAGCGAAGGGCTGAGGAATGTGCCAGTGCAGCTGGATGCCAGAAAATCCTGCCCTTCTCTTTCAGACACGGGTTTCTTGGGCCTGTGATTTGCTTTTCACCAGGCTCAGGGCCTGACCAGGTTTGTGGGGATACCCCTCACTGTGGTAGTCTGTGGCAAATCCCAGTCTCAGGCTTTACTTTGGAAGCAATTAGGTTATTCAACAAAATTATGGGCAACCTCAACCTGGGCCAAAAGTACACTTCAGAATCTCATCTTGGTGATGACCGAGACGTCTTCATTGATTGCAAAGAAATATGACATTGATATAGAAAAAGGTCTATATCTTGATAAAGTTGGAGGCAGTGGAAAATAAGGTAATGTGAAGGCACATACTAGGCAGCTTGTGATAACAGGTGGCCCTACCACCATCTGCAATAATTCTTTGATTGACTGCTTAGAATATCATCTCTCAAACTCTTAATATTTTAGTTGTTTAGTGCTCAGACAGCAAAACATTAAGTGCATTTGGGGTGCAGATTTGGTGGCGACAGCCTCTTCCCATCAGTACTGTAAGTCTTGTAAAGCTTCAGCTTTGCATGCCTTCAACTAAAATTAATTGGCCCTATTCAAGTAATCTCTTAAACACAGACCTAAGCCCTCCTGGAGGTCTTTGGGACTTAGTTAAGCCTTTAAGTTAAATCTGTGTTTCTTTGGATTCTTCTATATATTTTAATATTAGAATATTTATCAAATTCTTCAATAAATATATTTTAGTATATACTTATAACTGCTCTCATGCTATAGTATTAGAATGAAATTTGGATTTTTGTGGAATATGGACACAAGCTTAGTTGTTTTCTTGTTTTAGGCTTTACAGCTTCTTGGGCCATTTTGAAGTAGGTGTTGTACACAAAATGATGCTGTTCTGTATAATCTATTTCTGTAGGAATAGGGGCATGTTTTCCTACCTATTAAGGAGTGCTCTGATGCAGGGGATGGTTTATTTCTAGCTGTGTTTTCTTTCTAGCCCTTTTTTTATTGCTGTCAGTCTTGTCCTGTGTTATTAGGACAGCAGTTTTCAACACCACCCACTCTTAGTTGTAGAGCAATGAGATCATTTAATTTTTCATTTGTGCTTTGCAATTTCAGTCTTTTTTCTTGATACAGGATGGGAAAAAAAAAACCCAGGAAACTTCATAAATCTTGCTAATCCAATGATGCAGGGTGGGTTTTACTGTATTTCATAGAACCAAAACAGCTCTAAAAATAGAAAATGGATCGTTTTGTGGCAGAAAGGTTGAAATGGTACATGTAAATCTTACTGAAGCTCTCCGTTATCAAGAGACTGATAATCATGAACTGTTATTTTTTCCCCTAAGCTGCCACATTTCACTTTCAGCTGTTCAATGTTTTCCAGCAAGTTTCAACAACCCTAACCGAGTGCAATACAAAGCTTCTTTGCAAATAAGAAACCCTGCAGGACTTCACAAACTGCAACCGGTCTGTTCTCCTCAGTTATTCTTGTCTTGGTATGAGTGTTTTGGCTGATTTGTGTCCAAACACACTTTCCCAGCGTGTCCCGAGCAGGTGATCTCTTCCTCTCTTTGTTTCCTCTTAACAGGCCTCACATGAAACCTTGCTCACGCTTCTGTTGTGCCAGATGCATAGAGCACATCTGCCTCTCAGTAAGCAGTTATATCAATGCAAATAATGCCTTCTTGAACTGGGAATTTAGGATAATGGATTCGGGAGCCTTCATTAGGTAACACATAGTGTGACAGAGCACAGCTTTTGTAAGCACAGCACCCAAACAAATGCAACTTTGAAGCTGCTCAGGAATAATTTAGAGCATGCTCTCCAAGTCTGGATAATATTGCTGCTGATTCCCAGAAGGGAAAACATTGTATTTTTATGGGCTCTGACCTTATCTTTGAACCATTCTGTATAAATTCTTTACCTTACTCTGATACATGCACACATATTTTAATAGAGAAAGCCTGGAAATTAGCTGAGTGAAGAAGTGCAATTAAAACGAGTCAAGACTGAGCGTGTTTCTAAGTGGCAGAGTTTTATTCTCCCTCTGTGCCTCTTCTTTGAGAATTTCTATCTTTTCCATCCTTTGCACAAGGAAGTCAAAGAGGACTTGGCATCACCAAAAGTGGGTTTGCATCTAGTCCAAGAGTGTTCCCATAAAACTGGAGATCTAGGTCTTCTAGGAATGTCTGGTTTCAACTGGGTCTTACTGCATCACCCCAACACAATGCTCTCACTACAGAGCAAATCTAAACTTGTTGAGTGTGTATCTGTGACACGTTTTGGCTTTACAAAGTGTGTCACCAACCAAGCGTGTTCTTCAGAGACCTTGGGTACCTGCATTTGTAGGATCCACGCGGGACACAGAGTGTTCCCAAATCCTCTCAAGAGAGCCTCTCAGATAGGGGAAAACAGTGTTTCTAGCTCTGTAACCTTAACAAAGATTGCAGTATTCCTTCGGAGCAGAATATGCATGACATCTGGAAGCAATTATTCCTTTAAAAATCACTCTGTGAGTCAACACTGAAAATACTCCGAGCACTGAAAATGAAAACTCATAAACACTGAAGTTTCCAGTTATCCCCCAGTCTGAGTGACACACACCCTGGAACAAAGTCGTTGCTAGAAAGCCTGAGCAGGGTGGGTACAAAGCTGGTCTTGGATTCCAAAGTTGGCCAAGCTCTGCTGAAACAAAGAAGTAGCATTTGTATGAAATCAAGTAGCCAGGGAGGTTTTCTTTCTGTTATTATATTATGGGATCAGGGGGGACAAGAAGGAACCAGGTCACACTAACAGACCTTGCCCATCAAGGAACTCAGCACAGCATTTATGGACTTAGAGCCAAATCGTGCCTTTTGGTGGTATGACTCATAGTTATCTTCTCCTTTTCAAACCGTCTAATGTAGGATTGTCACAAGGCTGCAAAACCTACAGCGAAAAAACAGTGTGACAAGGGTCTACTGGGCTAGCAAGGGATCACAGATGCTCTGCTGGACTTTGCTGGCAAAGCAGGTTTCAGGACATTTCTGGAAAGGGCAGATGCTGATTGTTTTAGATCTCAGCAGAGGTTGCCTTCAACCTTTCCATGGCAATGTGGAA